AATCTCTGGCAGTGTTTTCCATAGGACTCTGAGCTATAATGAACGCCCTCTTCTCATGAAAACCCTATAAGAATAAATTCATATAAAGTTATGTTAGTAAGAAAAATAACTAACAGAAATAAATGATGCGTTAATGTAGCCATTAGCTTCTTGAAGTGGTACAAGAAATAATTCAACTGTTACAAATATAAATATAATAATTATTATGCATGATATTATAACCTGGTAGAAATTTGCTGGAGCGATTCTTGGCAGGATAAGCTTTAGCAGTATTAGTAAATACATCATCAGGATCAGGAGTCACTTGAGAGAGTAGATCAAACTGAGACTGAAGACCAGAACAACCAGTTGATGAATCAATCTCCTTTAATTCCTGAAGCTTTGTTTGATATTTGTCAGTTGGTATCTTTGTCTCTCCACAAATGATTGCCTCTAGCACAGCATCATGAAGAAATACATACTGATCCTATACAATGTTAATATAAATGAATGAATCTATGTACTCTTGTCCTTACTAGTGTCTGAACCATCTTCATTCTCTGTTGTCTCAGTCTATTAACAATACCAGCAATATCTACTACTCCCTCTCTCTTAGCTTGTTCCAGAGCTATGTCTATAGCAATAAATGTACCAGTACGACCTACACCAGCACTACAGTGGACCAGGATGGGACCTTTAGAGGGAGACCAAGTAGCCATGACTTGTTTGTGAAGAGACATCAATGGTGTAGCATAATCAGGTACTCCATGATCAGGCCATGAGGTTAAATGATACTGAGTCAGTGTATGACTATCATTAGATCCATCTTGTATCTGTAAACACATATGTACATGTATTGTGTGTATAAAATGTTATTTCATGGTAGTACTATTGACATACTTTAACATTAAGTTGACGAATAACAAAGTCAGGATAAACCTGTTGACTTATTAACATGACAGTAAATGGTCCAAATTCTTCACTCTTATTAGGCCAGTACTGCTCACACTTGCTCTTAGTTCCTTCCTTCAGGTTGGTTACCATTACAATAGACACTGGCTTCTCCTGCCAGATGAGACGCCAGAAATCAACTAATGTCTTCTTCATTGGACCTTCATTGAATAAGTATATCTATGCATTATTCACTCTATATTACCTTGTGATGCTATAAACTTGTTACTGCTACTGTATCCCTATGCAGTAATCATAATACTGATAGAGATAATTCAGTAAAGCATAGACTTACATCAATATAACTAGCATTAATATATTCTCTTTCACACATATCCAAATTAGGATTAGGTTTCAATATTATCCTGTTATCATCATCTGATGAGTAAAAGAATTAAACAAAATTTACTAATCACATGTACATACAAACTGTAATGTTTTTGAATCTATTAAATCCTGAATTCTCATCACGATGTCCAATAGTACATCGCTTGCTATGTGGATTGCTAAGATTCTATAGACAGTAATGTTTAAAGTATTATTTAGATATTTATAAGATCATTTACTTCATATTGCTCATCAAACCCATTGCTATGACAAGTAGCTACATGAGTACCCAGCTCATCCACTGATACTGGTAGAGTGAGAGGAATTTTTGGATCAAATTTAGGAGTGTTATATACAGTAGGAGGAGATACTTTCAGTGTATCTATATCAGTGTATGTTGGTTCATAAACTGGTGGGATAATATCTTCATTATGTACAGCAGAGTACACTATGGTATAGATATAATCATAGTGTACAATGTGAATGATTTAATAGTCTACCTGACTCAATCTGTATTGGATTATTTTCATTGTTTGTATCTGTGTCATCCAATCCAGTGGTACATGAATGATCTTTTTGATCAAAATAATTATATTCTCTTTATTAGAAATTTGTACACACTTACCAGATGAATCCTTCTTGTTTGCTGACAGGAGCTCAATTTCATTATTGCCACTCTCTTCTTTTTTAATTTGTGCATACTTCAATCTAAACAAAAATGATAAAAATAACTAACAAATCAATATCACCTTTTAAACCTGATGAACACTACCACTCCAAATACTGCCCCTGCTGCTACTATTAGTAACAATATTGAGAATGTCACTCCAATTACAACTCCTATAGATGATCTACTTGTGGCTACTGAAATAAGAAATGGATTGTAATGTTTAACTAACTACTACAGTATCTTACATGTAGGACTAGTGGCTGTAGCTGTAGTGTTTGTATAAAAAATAAAAGCAAAATGAATGCATTGCTATTTAATGTACTTGTAGGAGGTGGTGGTTCTGATAGTGTCTCATTAGCAATAACTCTCCATTTACTATATCCATTATCAATGTATGCACGTACACCAAAAATATAACAAGTACTATCATTAAGACCAGTAATGTTAATAAATGTATCACCATTGGTTGAATTAGAAAGCTGTAGCATTTGAATGTCAATTTCATTATCATCTACCATTGAACAGTTATCAGACTTTAAGATATGATATCCTATCTCATATGTGATAATGGGATAGTCTGATGGAATATAACTAGGTACACTCCATGAGATAACAGCCCATGTAGTGTCCATGATACTGGATACTGAATCTATTTCAACTAGAAACATATGAAATATACAAAACAGCAGTAGCAATACCTGGTAAGGTCTGTACACTGATTGTACTAGCAGGTCCCAGTAATTGTTGATAGGCTCTGACTGTGATGCTGTAATTTGCTTCTCTTCTC